TATATTCACACTTTTTATGAATGATAAATCGATGAAAGAGTGCAATGTAAAAGTAACACAGATTCGAGAATGAAAATATAAATATAATGTATTTTATAAACACGTCTGCTTTATCTCTTTACAATAGAGCCAGTATTGCACAACAAATATCTATATCAAAAATTGTATCAATACGAGACTAAAAGTAAAATGCCCATAATAATTTAGATAAAACATGATACAATGTCGCTATACAATTCAAAACAATTATGGATCTATATACTCGGCGGTGAATTTTGGCAATGCAAAATTAATCGCGAACACGGCTTGCCGTGGAGAAAGCACACGAGTATCACTGTCATATTGTCGCAGCCGGTGCCCATAAGAGCGTCCGGTGCCAGGCAACAGTTTAAAAGTTCCTCGCAGATCTCCTCGGGATGTATCGTGCAGTTCGATGCTTCTCCATCGCCAAGTTTTGGATGCGCTAAACGCGTTCTTACAAACTGAACTACCTCTTCGCTGGTCATCACGTCCCAAATACCATCGCATGCCAAAACGACAAATTCCCAGTCCTCATCAATGATAAACTGTTGTACCTCAGGAAACGCTATGGATTTATAATTCTTTTTGATGCAAAAATTTAATCGAAAGGAATCATTTGGTATTTCATTATTACCGGTCACGATCTGTTCCTGTGGCGATTTATGATCATTCCGCTTAAATATAAAATCTCCGAGAGCACGAGACAGTGCCAGATTGCCGTTCACCCTCTTGTACTCGACGAAACCACCCGCTGCTTCGATACGTTTGCGCTCGTCCTTTAATGTGGGTTTATGGTCTCGACTGAGGGCAACTGTTCTTCCGTTGATACAAGCCACCGCTCTGCTGTCACCTGCATTAGCCTACAAAGCTTTTCTAGTGGTCAGGAATTCATACATCAAGATGCATTACTGTACAGCCGAATGAGATAAACAACTTACACTATATAAAATATTATCTTTGATGAGGAGTGCAATGACAGTTGTTCCAGCATGTTCATCCCTAAGAGCAGCATTATTCTGCATTGCTTTATCTAATTCTAAGAAGCCTTGTTGCATCGCACCTATAATATCGCCTTCCTTATACTCACTCCTTTTAATTATATATTCATGAAGATGTTTCCCAGCATGCTGTGCCATGGCTGCACCTATAAATATATAGTTATTATATAGTAAGTATACATAAGTAAGTATATTATATACATATATGTATTTATTACTATATTATTACATATGTATTATCTATCAAATATCTCTAACATCCATCTGATTATCCTACAAAAATATATATTCGATATACAATTACTTGAAAATTTATTTATGCTATTGTTTAATAAATCTTCCACATTCAGTATTTACCTCCATGTCCATCATAGACAGCGAAGAATGCAGTGCGTGGATCACTAGGTAAAGAAAGTATGTGCACGTGCGAATCTTCCATCTTAATGCGCCATCCTTGCATGCAGGAACTACCTACCCGGTAGTTGCTATCCCGGCAACAAGCTGATTTCTTCTTCGTAATTGGTTCGCTAAGTGTTTGTCCCATCTTTCCTTCTTAATTAATATTAAGCCTACACATGAATGAAACGCGATTTAATACGATATTATCAATACTATGACAGCTAAGGTAATCAGGATTAAATGAATTCAGGCATAATACTTTTAAATTATCAGTTCGTAGAATTTTGCTCAAAGTCTTTACCTTACGATCAACGTCGTCGTTCGAGGACCTCAAATTTAAACGTGCTTCACTTCGCTCCGGTTTCATAACAGCCTCCCATTCAGAAACGCGCTGAAATGCGCGTGATGTACGATTAATTTTGTCGTCAGCTCCACCCCGTGTTACTCTCCGTGTTTTCCATTCGGCCATGGGAAACAATGCGCGCAGACAGATCAAGCAGACATCGATCGCAAAATAAACAGCTGATCCGAATAGATGACGTCAAGGTGCCGATAGGTTTTTTTGGGATGAGCCATGACGCAGGCAGATTTGTTTGGTGAGTTTGGGAACTCGATTATAGGAACAAACTAGGAATACTATGCTAGGAATATTTTTTTTCGATAAGTTTTGGAACGCATTTACGAAGCGAATGTGACGCCGTGACGGGCGCTAAGCTGAGAGAAGAGAAGATAAAAGGATTGATATAAAATAAAACAGATGTAAGATATAGAAACAAACAATTACATAAATAGAAATGATAGCGATTAATTAGCTGCTTAATTATCAATCTTATCTATAATTTATTATGTAATGATTATATAATATCGTGTTGAATATATAGATCTTTAAACTTAACCTGATCTTCACCGCGCAAAATATTATAAAAAAATATTTCCCTTGAAAGTTTGTAAGAACATTTAAATCTGTAAATTAATTTTTGAAAAAAAGACATTTGTTTCAATTTAGATAATAAGATATTTATGTCGCTTGTTTGTGTATAATAAACAAACATAGTGTTTAACAAAATAATTGTGCAGTTAATAATTGGAAATTTAATGTGTATCGTATATTATTATTTATTTATGTAAAATATTATTTATTACATGTAAAATATTTTTGTAAGGTAAAAATGATACAAATTTGAATAAATCTGTTTTATATATAGGCTACGACAATTCCTACATTTAGTATTGGTACATTTACGTATCCTTCTTGTGGCACATGTATTATAAATAAATTTTTTAAAAAACTTATAATTCTTATAAGGATAACACATAATAAACCTAGCTTTTGTGATTTCAAAGGATTGGAAACAGTGAAGTCAAAAAGAAAAACAGATGTATCAACTGGATGTGATCTTATTTTCGGAAGGAATATAGAAATCAATTTTGAGAGCAATGACAAGAATTAATTGCGTAATTTCAACAAGTTCGCGTCAATTATTGCGGCTATATATAAGAGGTATGAATTTGTAGATGAAGAAATATCAGCGAACATTTGTCTATCCATTGAAATTAACAAGATGTACATTTGTAATATTCCTATTCATGTTCTTTTTAAAAGGATTTACATGCCCGTTTTCATCTAGAAGCACAGATGAGGTCGATGAGAGTCCGAGATTACGTGAATTCAGAAAAAAATTGCGCGAACGCGCTCCTATAGGTACGTTACGTAATAGCAAACTTTTCCTGAATTTCTATGCAAAGATAAAAAATTTAAAGCAGTAAAGAAATCAAACTTTGAACGTGACAGAGAAATTGGACGAATTGGAGGAGGGCAAGCATCCTTATCAAGAGAAAGAACCTCTGAAACCATTCCCAAACAACACGAATCCAGAAACCGGCGAAGTCGGAGGTCCTCGTGGACCAGAGCCGACTCGTTACGGTGATTGGGAAAGGAAAGGTCGTGTTTCGGACTTCTAAATCAATCTCGTTTGAGAATAGCGCAATTCATTTGTTAATAACAATTAAAAATTGTCATCAAAACTCATATTTAAAACTTAAAATAATTTTGTTTTGAAATACAATATTATACAAATAAATCTTTATTTTGATATCAAGTTAATCGATATATATTATATCTCTCTTATAACGATCAGATCTTTTAATTCAATTTTAATAAAATTAGGAAATGTGACAAATTTATCTAAATGAATTTAAAGTATTAATTTAAAACAATGTAGTTAATTAACCAGGATTAAATTATAAGGATTGAATTAATATTTAAATTTTAAGCTCAAAACATTAATTTAAGTTTTCAAAAATTAAAATAAACGCAAAATAAAATGTTTGTCACATTTAGAAAATGTTATAGTTGCTTCTTGCGAAGCATAATATTCAATGCGATCCATATTTGCGACAGTGTTTTATTAACAAAATTATAAAATTGTTGCGTCATTGTTTTTACACGATTGCGAACAACCGCATGTTAATTTCTTCGTAAAATATTTGCACGATGATTCGCTTAAATTGTAATATTTTGATGAATCTACAAGCAAGAAGTTGTAGACGATTTGTCACAAGTATGTATCGATGCTTCAGAATATTTTAGTTAAGTTTGCAAACTTCAACGGATTTTTACGAATAATCTGTTATTGCTTTTATA